CGAGTTTATGTTTTTTTTTTTAATTTTCCCCCCCTTCCCCCGCTACAGAATTTCGTCAATAGCGTCCACATTTCAAATGCTACCTAAACCAAACTTTGCACACATAATTTATATATAATTGTCTACTGTTGTTCAAAATTTTATTCAATTCGGTCAATTCTAAGAAAAGTTATTAGCGAAACAAATTCTCGCCAGTACAACCCCCACAAACTGCAGCAACAAGTTCGCTCTTCTTCTTCCTCTTTTTGCTGCTGCTTTGGGCGCATATAACTCAGTGACGGAAGTTTACCTGGGTACAGGGTATTACACTGTCGGGCTTGCTCGACTGTAGCGTTCTCTCTTGTTAATTTTCAAACCGTGTTAAATCAAATCTGTGTAAAAACAGAATTAGGTGTAATTATAAATTTGTTTGGCTCTTAAAGATGAACCTCTCTCACACTGCACAACAAAGATTTTCAATGAATTGAAGGCACAAATATGAAAAAATCCCCGACAAATAAAAATAAACCTTTGCTGACAGTGCTCTTAATGTAAAATGTTATGAAATATTTTCTGCAAATGAAAGTGTATGCATTGTAGCTGATAGGCGATGCACACTGTACTCCCGGGTGCTGTGCTTGTGTGGGCAGTCAACTAACGGTGTTTGCTTGGTAGCTGGCAAATAGACGGCACCCAAGCGGCCAGCAGCAAGCGGTCTCTCTGGTCGTCGTTGGCGGCAAAACAAAAAAAAAGTATCAGAAAAATAACTGAAGAAAATAGAGGAAACGAAACCGAGTCGCGTTACCGTTGCCTACCATGGCTGTTCTTGCTTGGATTGGATGCTACTCGTATATTTTTGTGTGCGCTTACCACATGAGATACAACTCGAGGGTCTCTAGCTGCTGCTGGTAAGAAACCGCAGATACATATTTATGTGCACATTTCTATAAGCAAGCCAGCAAATAAGCACATGTGTGTGTATATAACACATAAAAATGTGTACATACATACATATGTACATATATATGTGCATAGATAGATGGATACTTGTAGCATAGTGCGCGCCGCACGAGACTTTTTATGAATGAATCAGACTGGAAATTTAAACATATAGTATATATATGTAAGTATTATTCATGATTCACTGGCTTTGAAAGCTCGTGGCGTTGGCCGCGACTGTGCTATCAGCCGACAAAAGCGCCATTAACAAGATCTCTGAGCACGGCTCGACGGCATTTCTCTCCATATAATTGTGTCTGCCAAATATATTCATATAGAATGTACTACATATTTAGGAATTATCGCGCCACAAGAGCCATAAATATGGATATGGATATTTCAAGTAAAGTCATCATCAAAACAAAAGCTTTGTCTGTCCACATTATTTTTTCGGCAGCAAAAACCCAACTTGTAGTACGTTTTTTTCTTGTCCGCTCATTATTATATGTTCTGAGAGAGGACTGTTGTTGTTGTTGGTTTTCGTTTTTGTTTTTGTTACTGCCATTAAGTCTGAGTTATTCTTTCGAAGTGTGAGTGCGGGTGCGAGTTTGTGTGCGTGTGTGTGTAAGCGCTTGCCTTGTTCCCCATCAAATAAAAAACGCAAGCCATTTAGGTCATGCCTAAAAGTATGCCACAGAAAAAAATTAAACCTGCTAGCTCAACAAAAAACGACCTTTTTAAATTGTCTAGAAAATGTGTATGCATTAAGGCATTTTATTTTACTTTTATGAAAAAATATGTACTACATTTTATTAAACAGGTGTACTGCTATTTATTGTGGCAACTGGATTAAGAGTTGTACGTCACAGGGGAATATAACAATTGTCCATAGGATACATCTATAGGATTGCACTTAAATCAATGTACATTACACCTAGTTCTGTTTTTACACGGTTGATTGTTTCCAGTCACAACCGTGTAAAAAGAGACATTGATCATATGCAAAAATTGGGGATTCCTTCTTTATCTCTAAAGAAGTTTATATGAAATTTTTAATTTTCAAACCGTGTTATATCAAAATCGTGTAAGAAAATACCGTGTAAAAACAGAATTAGATGTATTTTGAAATTTCTATAGAATATAAAATATGCTTGAAGATTATAATGTTATTTACCTTTTATTTTTTTATTTTACTTACTTTTATAATATGCTCTTTCTGGGCCTAGAAACCAGGTGCCTCGCTAGTGCGCTAGGACATCCAAGGCGTTTCTGAAAATGCATTATCATTATCAGAAATGCTTTATACTAATTAGCGGTGTAAAGTCCAAAATTAACAGCCAAGTCTTTAATCGATGAATCGATGTATTTGAAATATTAAACATTTTCGAGATAAATAGTAAACTTCTTTTAGCTTATAATGCTGAACAAGTTTTGAATCCGACCAAAGAGCAGTTTTTCATTTCAAGGCAAATTTTGCTTCCAACAAATGTTTGCAACTAAAACCTTTATTATATTCTAAGATGACTATATCATATAGCTGTTCAAGGCGTAATATTTTCAGGCTTAAAACTGAGACAATGTAGAAGTCATTCTGGAATTTTAAAAAAATAATGCAATTTAGTCTCCTTGGAGCCATCCATGGATTTTCTTTACCTGTTTTTTTACATTACTCTGCCTTTGTCAGTTTGTCGGTTTTATTTTCTCGCTGCTGCTCACGTATGCTGAGGAACATGGGCGTATGTACATATACCTGCACATTCTGTTAAGAGAATTACATTTAACATGTGTCAAAATATGAGAATTTTTGCTGTGGCATGCAATGCCATGTCCTCGTTCGTGTCTCGTTATCCTCATCCCAAACACTAGGGCGTTGTTACTTGTGCCAGTTGCCTTCTCTGGCCCCAACGCCCCCAATGCCTCGCTGGACGAGTTACGTCAGGGTCTGAAATGAATGCATTTTCCATAAGCTTAAAGCTTAGAACAACACATATTAGCGGGCTAACAAAATGAAATTCTTCTAAAGCGAATACAAATGTATAATAGAATTCGATTGGAATGTTCGCAAAAGTCCATGTGGGTGTGTCTATGAGTACTTCAAGACTTCATGCCAGCCGCATGTTTTCTGTAATATTCTTACTCATATTATTTATAGGTGGATGTATTGCCAAGATGATACTTCAACTAACACTTTATATACAACAGTTGTGAAGAGTTTGGTAATTAAAGAACTTTTCAAATAACATCACTCGCTGGACAATTACACCTCCTTTGAAATGAACAATTTTTAACCACTGTATGTTAACAAGTTTATCTTGAAAATGTTGTAATTCTTGGTAATTTTCTATATTTATATAGAATGTGTGGGCATGTCGTAGATAATGTTGAATGAGGTGAGAAGTGCAAACGCTCTGATAAAATAGCTCGCTTAAAAGAACTGATAGCGCAGGGAGTTTTATGATATTTTATGTGGAACGAAGCAATGATGGAATTAATTTGTGCTTAAGGTCTATTAAAATAGACTTAGGCTTAGCTATAAATAGCACATAGCATTCAATTATATGATGGCATCAAAACTATTTTATAGATAACTGAAAAACAAACAGATCTAGTAATAAATACTAAAGTACATAAAATAAACATTTCTTTCATTTAATACCCACGAGTTCTTAATCATTCACAAACAGTAAGGAATAAAGAATCAAATAATTATACCCTGTAGCTTAGTGCGAATGTATGTAACACAGAGAAGGAGGCGTAGCAGAACCTTAAAAGTATATACATACATATATTATTGATCTGTATAAGACGATGAGTCGATATAGCCATGTCCGTCTGTCTGTATGAGCGCAAGGATCTCAGCAAGTACAAGAGCTAGAATAACCGAACTTGGTATCGAGGCTTTCCTAAGCCTTAGGCAGATCAAGATTGTTTTTGTATACCCTATACCCAAAGGGTAAAATGGTATATTAGTTTTGTGCGAGTGTACAAGTAACACATAGAAGGAGGCGTGGCAAACCCCACAAAGTATGTATATTCTTGAACAGGAAGACAAGCCGAGTCGATATAGTTATGTCCGTTTGTCTGTCTGTCCGTCTGTTTGTCTGTATGAACGCAAGGATCGCAGAAAGTATAAGAGCTAGAATAACCAAAATTGGTATACGTATATATAAATATATAAATGTATGTATGCATATATGGAGTATTTTATATTTAATTTAATTAATTAAATTATTAAATTTTTTTAGTAATTTTTTTTTTTTTTTTGAGGGTGGTACAGTGACTTTGCATTCCTTTCTTGTTTTTTTCTTCTGGAGTTTGGAGCCCCCTCGACATTCTCTTTTCTTGTTTAAATATTTATATAAATGCAACAATACTTTCAAATGGGTCTTTTGAAGATGCCGTAAAACAAGGAGCAATCGATAGTGGTGCTATAATTAAAAGCCATTGATACGCTTGATTTCTTTATATAGCTCCACTATACAGGCCATGTATGAAAAGTCGACTATACCTGCTGGAGTTGTTGATATTTTTTCTTTGCTTACACTTTATTGATATTTTACAGAAATGTGCTATTCTGATCAATTAATAAATCGATGTATCGATAGTTTCGTTATTTTCTGAAAAGCCTAAGCAACTTGTCAATGCATTTGTGGGTGAGGGAAGACACTTCCGCTGCCTTAATGTTGCAGGAAAAGTGAAAACGATCGGCAACAATTATCTTGACTTGAGAGGAAAATTTAAATAGAACACTGCTTCTAAAGTTCATATACTCTCCAAATACAATTGGACTATTTAGAATTGAACACACTGTTCGTTGCCATGGCCACAATTATCGCTGCATCATAATGGAGAGCATTGATGACTCCGGCCCCTCCATAAAATTCACTTGAACGTCGCCCACTAGCCAAGCGTCGAGTCTCAAGATAAGGTGCGGCATACGACCGATTTGTATTAATTTATAGCTGGATGGGTATTGGGCGTATTGGGCTTTGCTCACTTGCACTTGAAATCGCGGAGCCAGCAGCTGAACTGAATGATCTGCGTCACATAATTGTCGTAATCTAATCGAAACTGCAGCTGAGTGGGGGCTAATGCCTTGGAGGCCTTTTATTTGTGTGGATTTCAAACACACATTTAACACACAGAAATATAATAATAATAATTATAACATAATCCATCTATCGATTCACCAATCACACATACTAATACATATGTATGTATGTATACTGTTAAGAATTAACTTGCATAATACTTACTACCACATAAGACTACAATAGGTCTAGCAAAAAAAAGGTGTAAAGTGTTTAAAAAAAATTACAATAAAAATATTGAGCTTCGAAACGTAATGGAACAATGGTACTTGTACGCTATTGCCCATTGGTGGCCATCACATTGATCATTCCGGGAAAGATTTCGGCCTGTATGGCTCCATAGTCCACAAGTTCTCCATCCACTGTCATAATGCCCTGCGACCCACTGGGGACGATCCTAAACGCCTGCACGGGCACGACACGGATGAAGGGATCATCGGGTTCGGGCAAATGGCTGCCATCGTTTAGGCTGAGCAGAAAGTTCAGCAACTGGGATCGACTGACACCGGCTCGTATGACCATTAGATAAATGATTCCATCGTTTAGTTTGGAAGCGGGCGCAAAAAAGCAATCGGATGCCAGATGGGTGGTGTAGGCGGCATGAACCATCACAAAATCGCCCTCTTCACATATCCAGCCCTGGTCAGTGGGCAGAGGTAACTGTAGTGCTGGCATTGTGCCCGTGGGCACCAGTTCCGCAAACTGGGCATTGGCGGCTTCGATGCGCTGGGCTAGACTCGGCGTACGACTGCAGTTGGAGCGCATGCTCTGTCCCGCAATCGAGTAGTAGGCAGTGCGGCGAGAGAAAGCCGAATGCCAACTGTCCCCATGCTGGCGATACATGGATCGATCCATGGACAGGGCGTCGACAAACTGATCCTCATCCTGATCCTCACCATTGGCTGGCAGCGTGATGCCTGTGTCGTCCGGCGGATCATCGTCGGCTAGATCCTTAAACTCAGTTGTGTTAACAGGTAACGAGAGTCGAGCGGCAAGGTGGCCGGATACATCGGGATCGCATTGGGCATCGTCCTGGGGATCGTCGCTTGTACGGTCAGTGCTGGCTGGGACGTTGCTGGGCGTGGGTGTTGCGGCATTTTTTGAGATCGGCAAATAGTAGAGCTTGCCGTGATAGGTGCGCAGCGTTATTAGTCGCCGGATGGCCCACAGTGTAAAGCGTTGGGCACCAATCGATCGCAACCGCTCGCTCTCAATGTCAATGTCTGCGATCAGTCCCCAGCCGACAGAGAGGAACGAATACTTCACAAAGTGTTTGTTGCGTTGCGCCAGCTCTACGCGTACCACATCCATGGGCGTGGCACGGCCTGCAATGCACGTGAGCGTCGAATTAAGAATCGGTTTCGGTTCGTACGGCTCATTGCAGTGATGGGCCACGCTCTTTGCTAATCCATTCCCGGATCCACAGGGTATGATGCCAAGTGGCAGTTCCTTGCACGCTCGCCTCCAATCCATGCGCTCCATCAATCCATTGAGTACCTCATAGAAGAGTCCATCGCCCGAGGCTACGATGATGCCCGAAAAACGCTCGAGTAGATCCTTGCGCGTGCGCACCAATTCCTGAGCGTGTTGCGCATGCGTCGTGATGTGCAACTCATATTGTATTTCCGCCTCGCGCAGCAGTGGCACTACCTGCTTTTGGAAGAGCTCGCGCCCTTTGCCCGAACCCGACTTGGGATTGAGCAAGATGAGCAGCTGCTTGCCATCCGAGTCCCAGCTTCTACTGCTGGACCTCATCTTGTGCTCCCGTATACTCCGATGCCAGATCGCAGCGGTCCGTAAATTGGAGCCATAGTCACTGTTTGAGCGAAAGCGTAAGATCCGCAAAGTCTGTATTCGTCGCAGCGGCTTCTCCTGCTTCAAATAGGCGTAGATATAAAGATATGCACTATTATCGGCGTCAGCCTGTGGAGCCGCCGGCTCATCGTTCTGTGTTTCGCTGGGATTCTTGCAGGAACTGAGACCGCCGCGAGCACGTTTCTTGAGACGCGGCCCACAACGAGATCCAATGATGTCCTCAATGGGTATCAGCTGCTCGTTAACGTACTCGGTCTCGGTTTGGCGGCGCAAATAGACGCCCTGGGAACACAACCGCACCTCGATCTTCATATGCTGTTTACGTCGATTCTCCACATAGAAGATTTCGCAAAGTTCCGGAGTCGTAAGGGTGCTTACACTGGTGCACGAACTTGACTGCGACAAGTGTCGCGACATCTTCACTTGCTCCATTCTCGCCGTCGTCTGCTGCGTGGGCTGCACTGTTGTGGCCGTCATAACCCCTTTACGGCTATTGTCTCTCCTCTTCGTTTAACCTTGTGCTCCCTGTTTTGCGCGAAAGCAACTGAAATAAAAAACTGAGCGGCAACTGAAAGTGAAGCAACCTGATCGTTCGCTTTGTCTTTGTTTCTACACTCTCGATCAACTGAATAGGTTCGGTTGTGCTTTGTCGTAAGATTTCAGATATTATTTACGGCAAATATTTGCTCATCTCTAAACGTTAATTGATTTAAAAAAAAGATGATGTGCTTTTGTGTTTGTATGTATATTTGAGATTTTTTTTTCATTTTTATATCTAGGCATGAATAGAGTTACGATGGTTCTTCAGTTGATGGGTTCGGATGCAGATTTGCAAAGGAATTGTTCAGTAAACACAACGATAAGCATTTTCTTGAAGACTTGGTCTTTGTGTTAATGTGTTTGAATATTTGAGATTTTTTTTTTTTTTTTTATTGATATCTATGATAAGAGTTTGGTTGATTCTTCAGTTGATGGGTTCGGATTAAGATTTGCAAAGGAATTGTTTAGTAAACGCAACGATAAGCATTTTCTTGAAGACTTGGTCTTTGTGTTAATGTGTTTGAATATTTGAGATTTTTTTTTTTTTTTTATTGATATCTATGATAAGAGTTTGGTTGATTCTTCAGTTGATGGGTTCGGATTAAGATTTGCAAAGGAATTGTTCAGTAAACACAACGATAAGCATTTTCTTGAAGTCTTTGTGTTTATGTGTTTGAATATTTGAGATTTTTTTTTTTTATTGATATCTATGATAAGAGTTTGGTTGATTCTTCAGTTGATGGGTTCGGATTAAGATTTGTAAAGGAATTGTTTAGTAAACGCAACTATAAGCAACGCTTTGTTAACATGGATATGAAAACGTTGGCCAATCACTAGGAACAGCTTGAAAATTGTTCACATCCTGAGCCTGTTGAAGACTTCCATAATCTTTTGCGGAATCAAACAACTCTGTCTTTTTTTTTCGGAATTAAACAGAAGTATTCATTCCAATTCCGCTAGTGTAAATTTTATTTAAACATTACTGAAGAATTAGATCAGTGGACTGTTGTCCCATTCAATTGACCGGGAGTGTGTGCACAAAATTGTGTTTGTATGCTATTTGTGTGTGTGTGTTGCTTTTGTTATGGATCTCAAGTTAGTTGTATACCTTTTTTTTATAATTGCTGTTGTTGTTGACGATGGTTATTATGATTTTTATTTTTAAGTGTTTATGTTGATTTTCAATAATTGTTTTCGTTTTATCTCCGTCTCTCTCTCTGTCTCTTATTACCTTGTTTATATGTTTTATCGATTCATTTTCTTCTCTAGCAGTTTATTATTTTTGTTGCTCACTTATTTTTTTTTTGTTGTTTCTGTTTCGGATTTTTTTTTTTAAATTTTGGGAGGCGTTAATGGCTTTTGATATTCTGCGCTTCTCCAGTGTGCATGCGACTCAACGTTGCGCACTGAGCGTGAAAATGAACTAACTTTTTGTTATTTTGAACAGATTTGGTATTGCGATTTTGTGTCTCGCACACACACACACAAACACACACACACACACAAACATACACACAAGCACACAGACAACGCTCACACTCACGAGCACGAACTAAAGTTGACTAACTCGCCACGTTGTTATTGTTATTACTGCTGGGCATTGTCGTTGCTTTCCCTGTCTGTGTTGCTTTGCCTGCTGTTGCTATTGTTGTTGTTGTTGTTGCTGTTGCTGTTGTTGCCGTTTCACAATCTAATCAACACGTATCGCAGCGTATCGATGTTTAAAAGTGTGCTATGTGGCTCATATCTTTAGCGTGCTTGTTGGCCTGCTGGCGCTGACCAAAAGCCTCAAAAGACAACAACAACAACAAAAAAACAAAAACAACAGAAATAGCAGCTCCACAGCTCGCTCCCATAATCAACACCCTGTGCATGCATGTACATACAACATACATATTTACATATGTATGTACATACATACCTACATATGTATGTATATTTGGCCTTTGCGCATATTGCATATTGCGTATACGATTATTGGACTTGAATATGTTTTTTCTATTTATTGCCTTAATTTGCGTGCGAGAATTTGATTTGTTCACATATGTATGCACATACATACATGCATACATACATATGTACATATATATTCACAAGTTCGCACGCAAATTGCTTTATCGCGACTATTTTAAGCTGCACTTTTGTTCCTTCTTCTCTTTTCTTTATACATACATATGTATACGAATAGTAGTATTTCATCTCATATTCGCATCTGAAAATTGCACACTTCGGTCTCTCGTTCGAGGTCGAACCAAGTCGAACCAAGTCGAACCGCAACGAACCAAAATGAAACGAAATTTGCCGAACTCAGAGCGTACGACCCAATAGATAAATGACCCCATTGCTCGGATGGCAACAAGTTTCGTCTTTGTAGCGCCCTTCAAAAAAGAAAAGTTTTGCCCCGCAGATCTGTTTGGCTGCGTATCAGCGCCTAAAAACCTTCTTCAAAATTCAATATTTATCGAAATTAGTTAAGATCGATAAAAATTTTCGTTTGGAACACTCGGAACTGCAAATCGTAGCAGGAGATTCGTAAATTTGTGGCACAGTCGACTTAATTTGTATTATATATTATATATATGTATATATATTATATATTTATATTTTAATTATACTCTTTGCGAGAGATGAGAAATGTAACAAGCAGAGGGAGGCGTGGCAAATACCACAAAGTATATATATTCTTGATCAGCATGACAATCGACTCGCCGATCTATGTCTGTCTGTCCGTCTGTATGAACACCAGGATCTCAGAGACTATAAGAGCTAAAGACACCAAATTTTGCATAAAGATGCCTTATGTGTGTACGCTATACAAGTTTGTTTTATTTTTTTGAAATTCCCCCCACTTCCCCCCTATGGGGGGCGCTCCTATAATCACCTATATCTCGGAGACCAAAACGTCTTATGTGAATACGAAAAAAAAACTTTCTTCACTAGTATCGATTATAGCTTGGGCTTAAAGCATAAGAATCTTTTATTTAATAGATTTATTATTAGAGCAGCTTTCAGAAGTATGTTTTAAAATGCAAAACCCTTCTGACAATCAGTATACTTCAATAAAATTGAAATCTGTGCAACTTGGTTTTTTTTTTTTAAGTTTCGTAGGAACTCTTGCATGTTAGATTTTTACTTTTATTTTTTGTTATATAAAGGAAATAGATATTGCCTATATTAGATGGATTAGATATTGCTAGTTATATTTGATCAATAATAAATTAACGTAAACAAATTGTTCATAAAATGTTGATATACGAGTATGTGTGCAAATGAAAAGAAATTCCAATTTTAAATATTATTTACATTTTGATTACAATTTTCTTATAGTTATAGATATAGTGTTCCCATTTTGTTGTTCGACGTGAGTCTAGTTATGCTTACTCCTGGTAGCTTGGCTCGGAGAAGGCGAACTGCAGGGTCACCACTGAGTGACCACTTATTACTTATTTTGTGCATCTGTTTTGTTTGTTTTTTATATAAGTATGTACACACTCGTATACTCGTATACCCACCCGTTTCTATGTATTATGTTATGTATTTTTGTTTGCTTTGTTACTATATAATTGTTGTTATTGTTTTCGCGCGCTGCGCTTCGTTGCACATGCGGAAGCTGTCGTGTGTCTGTGTGTGTGTGTGTGTGTGTGTGTGTATGTTTTGGGGTGGCGGAGAAGGTCCATTTGTGTACTTGCAATTGCCGTGTCAACGAATTTTAAATTGAATTAAGTGATGGATAAAAAAAAGGAACATCATTTTTTACGTAACTTTGAACTTACGTGAATACTCGATTTTGTGTGATTACGAAACGAAACAATTTGGAACACAGTTTGGCGGTTTATTGCCCCAAGGTGTAATGTATGATTCATATGTTCTTTCGTATCTTTCTCGTTTTGTGGGCGTCGTCTGCCAATGAATCATCCATGTACTCGTATGCATGTATAGTATATAGTTCATTGCTATCCTTATCTTGTACTGCCATGCGATGTCGTAATTTATAGCCAACAATCGATTGCATATTTTAACATGACGCGCCGCGTCACATGGCTTACCAAACAATAATCCTTCCTTCATCATATCTATATCGTTGCACAATGCTGTTACAAAAAGTAATATACACAAGAATGGAGTGTTGGGGCCGAGCGGGCCCAACTATAAGTTTCTTTACTATTTTTACGTTTGAGTAAAAAATTTTAAGATTTACGAGAGTTATGGAAAAATCCATAATTGCGGGAACGGACACAAACTTGACACGCCTATGGCTTAGAGAAGTACGAATACAAAGTTGGCTTGTTCTAGCTCTTATACTTTCCGAGAACCTTGCGTTCATACAGACGGACAGAAAGACGAACATCACTTATATGTTATGTAAATAGTTAAATATAAAAAAACATTATGAAGCACAAATGCAATGTATGTTGAAGGATTTCATTAACACTTTAGATGTAAAGTAATTGTTTATGGTGTTTTATATAAAATAGTCATGTATGAATATATATATATATAGTATGTACTTATATGGATATAAAGATTTATGCAATGTTGCTTATTTTGTGCAATTCAAAACTAAATTTGTTATCTCCCTGGCTAGCAACAAAAAATCGAGCACGATGCTCATCCATCATTTGCATGCCATGCATGGGTAATACCTGTTTTGGACATTGATGTCATGTATAAATGTACTCGTCGCTGTGTGGGAGCTGCCTAAAACGTCTCACGTATAACTAGTATATGATGACTAATTTTTTTGGGCTACCAAATTATTGCAAAACTTGTTGAACTTCAGTTTCGGGCTTTAATTGATGTGTTCAGTTTTAAATTTAATTTAAAATGGAGGTAGAGATTATCTATTATTTACATACATATGCAAAGTTTTGTTCATGTAGCTTTAGGCTTGTGGATAGCATTGACGAAACTCTGTAGCGGATAATGAAGGGTAACAAATAAAATAAACTCGGGTTGACTAGGGATTAGGAGAGTTTACATATCATAGGATCAAATGTTTGCGAAATCAAACCAGATAGACAGATAAAACGACAAAGATGGTTCTACCTGTTGCATACCTTGCCCAACCCTACAAGTAATAAGTCTTTTTAGGCATTGGGCACAGGGTATACAAATATATTTGAACTACCGAATACATTAAATTTTAATGATTAAAATGTTGAATTTCTAGCTGAGTTGTTTGAAATAATAACAAATTCCAGTTTGAAAAAAAATGAGAGCTATTTCATAAACTAGTTCAGTAATTTATTCTTCTGCAATAGAGTATTTTCTTTTAAAGATCAATCTGTTGCGACCTTTTTTTTATCGAAAAACTACTACAAAGTATATACAAAAATGAATGAAAGTTTTCAACTCCCAGGAAACTATTCAATATCTAAGACTTCAATTTTTCAGATCGAATAACTATATTCTTACTTGTATTAATTACACAATTGTTATCGTTTTTTTTATCTAAAAAATAAATTGAAAACTTACTTTAAGGCGAATCAATATACCTGAATCTTGCACTGCCTAGATATAGGAAGCTATACTATGGCTAAGGCAGATCTGCAAGGTGTTGTAATAATGTACTTAGACTAGGCAATTTTAAGACAATAACGTTACATTTTATTTACATAAGTGAGATATTTTACCCAAACAGTGTCAATATCCGATTAACAATTCGAATCGTATAACAATAATAATTTGGTTTATAGAGAATCCCAAAACTTAGCGAGCATATTTGTGGACTACAAATCTACTTTTGTCGCCAGCAGTCCTATAATTCAGAAAGCAAGATAAGCTTTATACGGCCAGGTCTCACAAAAAGAAAATTTAAACTAAAATACAAGTAATTCACCTTTTCAATGGGAAGCGATTTAGTCGATAATTATAAATCGAATATTCAGCTCTCACTGGTGGTTCCCAAAGCTTTTGTTGTGTTATGAAAATGTTAGTTTCATATCTTTTCTATAAAAGACTGAAACTACTTCCTGATATTAGCTGATATTGAAATCCTACCAAGGGCGTAGGCAGCTTTTACCAAAGGGGGGGCCAAAAAATTAAAATTTTGATTTAATAATGCACGATGCATTTAAAAAATAATTTATACATATGACCAATGAAAAAACTTCAACAAATCCAACTCAGTTCCATTCTAAGGTCGACTTTGTATGGAAAATTTGTTTTTAAGGGGGGGGGGGGGGGGGGTCAACGTTCCCCCTGCCTATCCCCTTGAATCTTACAATCAAGGAACTGCTGAGGTCCATTATTATTATTATTATAAACTATATCTTTCGTACTGTAACTCATAAAGGTCAAAAGGCTCATGTAAATGGTCTGGGACTGGTCATTGTGATTGCCTCAAGTGGCATTGGCCCAGTTAGCCTTTTGTTTGTCTCCTGGCCTGGCCCGGCCTGGCCTGAAAGTTGCAAATTAGGTCAGGGAGCCGGCAATCACAGGCGTGTGTGTCATTTGAAAAAAGTAACGCTGCCGGGCCTTTGCCAGTAGATCATTTGAATGGGCCGGCTTACCGGCTGCTCGCTCTCTGTTGGCTTGTAATTTGCCCGCTGGCTGGCCATGTCCATTAAGTAATTAGACGGCCTATTTATTTATTTATAAATTATTATTGTTATTATATTTCGGTCGTCATGCGCATTAGGCACTTTTGTTCAAGTATTATTGGCTGCTTCGCCAGCAAAGGCAGCTACAAAGATACCCGGCTAGATAGATACGTACACCCATCACATATAGACAGGCAGTCGGCGGCGTTTTTTTATCATTTCTGTACAAAACAGAAACAGACGCTTCGGCGTAAAAGCCCAGAGCAGGCTTCTGTTTCAATTTTTTATTTTTTGGGGCGCACGTATTGTGTAAACAATGAGAAAAGTCAATGAAATTTATTTAAAAAAGAACAAGAACATGGTTTACTTAAATTTTTGTTGTTAGCGCTGCTCGTATTATGTGGCACGCATATTTCAATTTTGTCTTCTTCTTCTTTAAATGTCAACATTAAAAGGTTCCACTCTTGTCCAATAAATTGAAAGTGAGTTGTGAGTTTGGAAATTCGAGGCATTAGTTGGCCAAATCAAGAGTTACGTGACAGACAGACTATAAGCGTGGCTGTCGATTTCCATTCAACAACATCACTACATTATTATTAATTGTATGTAAGCGAATATAGCATTATAGACATATTTCTAATTATCAATTTGTATCTCCCATTTAATTGCAGTGAAGAGCCGAACTATGCAGCGCGCTGAGCAATCGTTGGGGTCTTAGGCTTTAAACTGAAGCAACAAATACAATCCAGAAGCACATTTAACAATCAACAATAAGGGAAAACGTTGGAGATCGAACTGCAATAAGAATAAAACCAACATCAATAAACGCATCTTAAGAGTGAGCCAAACAAGGGGAGAAAGAGAGAAAGAGAGAGAGAGAAAAGGAGAAGGAGAATTCCAACATTATAGCCCCCCAAGCAGTTTCGCTCGTCAAGTCTGCAATGACACTGACCACAACAGCGACTCAGCCACAGACGGAGAGCAACAAGAAAATGGAGGTGAAGTGCGTCACAGCCGAAGAGAATTTGCCCAACTCGGAATTGGATTTGCTAGCCAAACTGGAGGCCGCCAACAAGCTGATCGAGAGCGATGCGAAGAGCCTCAACTCGCTCCACTCCACGCACAGTCGCAAGAACTCGGATACGAGTCAAATAAGCCTCACATCGAGTAAGTATTGCAGATCGTAAGACTTAAGGTGCTAGCTAGATTAGAAAGAGTTCTGACAATTATTGACAAGGTGTAGAGACATTCTTTAGCCAAATAGCAAAACTACTATCGATATTTATTCCACATCCAGAAATTGACCCTGTCTGTTCTTTTCTACTACTTTAAATTCTTGTGTATAAGTCTAATCGTTCTGTTTGCAAAAATTTAATTAACAATTTTTCTGACGGGTATTTATTCCACATCCAGAAATTGACCTTGTCTGTTATTTTCTAGTTCTTTTACTTCTTGTGTATATGTAAGTCTAATCGTTCTGTTTGCATCCAAAAATGGTCGAAAAATTAAACTATTATCGACTATAGGCGCTCTGACTACACGTCAGATAATCTGACGGTTTTTTTTTTTTTTGGGGGGGGGGGGGGGGGTTTAATAAACAATCAAAGCGAAAATTTATGTGCGTTCATAAACTTTTCTTTCTTCCGTTGAAGGCAGAAATCAACTTAAGGTTTTGGGGTAGAAGTTTATTATCGTTGGGTTCTCATTAAAAACACAAAACTACTTTCGATTGAAACCCACTAAATTACTTAGTTCAGATACGTTGCTAACAAATACGTCAGATATTTACGATTTGACAGATACGTAAAAGATAAATAGTTGGGAAATAGTATTAAGAATGTTTTGCTGTTGCCATTGCTATTGTTTAGCTGGCAGCTCAAGTCCCGATCATTAAACCAGTATGACATTATATCGTTTCTTGATAACACTAGGCGGCAACTCGGTGGCTGAAGAGGATATTTGGACCATCTGGGCAACCATACTGAATGATTGGGAGGGTGCCCTGAAGCGCAAAAATCCCTGTGTACGAGAGTTGGTTCGTCGCGGCATTCCGCACCACTTTCGGGCGATTGTGTGGCAGCAATTGAGTGGGGCAGCGGATGCGGATAAGAAACAGTATGCGGATTATATAAAGGCGACATCGGCATGCGAGAAGGTGATCAGACGGGACATTGCCCGCACGTATCCCGAGGTGGACTTCTTCAAGGAGAAAGATGGACCCGGCCAGGAGGCCCTCTTCAATGTGATCAAGGCCTATTCGCTGCATGATCGCGAGGTGGGCTACTGCCAGGGCTCTGGCTTCATTGTTGGACTGCTGCTCATGCAGATGCCCGAGGAGGAGGCCTTTGCAGTGCTCGTCCAGATCATGCAGCAGCATCGTATGCGTCACATGTTCAAGCCCTCGATGTCGGAACTGGGCCTCTGCATGTACCAACTGGAGAATCTGGTGCAGGAGCAAATTCCCGATATGCACATACACTTCCAGCAGCAGGGCTTTCAAACCACAATGTATGCCTCCAGCTGGTTCCTGACCCTCTACACTACCACACTAAATGTGAACCTAAGCTGTCGCATTATGGACGTGTTCCTCAGCGAGGGCATGGAGTTCATATTCAAGGTGGCATTGGCGCTATTGTTGACGGGCAAGGAGACGCTGCTTTGCCTGGACATGGAGGCCATGCTCAAGTTCTTCCAGAAAGAGCTGCCCGGTCGCGTCGAGGCCGATACCGAGGGCTTCTTCAACCTGGCCTACTCGATTAAGATCAACAGCAAGCGCATGAAGAAAATGGAGAAAGAGTATCAAGACTTGAAAAAGAAGGAGCAGGAGGAGATGGTAGAACTACGACGCTTACGTCGTGAGAATTGTATGCTGAAGCAACGCAATGAGCTGCTCGAGGCTGAGAGTGCCGAGCTGGCAGATCGTCTGGTGCGGGGTCAGGTGTCGCGGGCCGAGGAGGAGGAGACGAGGTGCGTACGAAACTAATTCAAACTAATTCTAATTCTCAAATTAATTCTCTGTATATACGGGTTTCCATTGCAGCTATGCGATCCAAACGGAACTTATGCAGCTACGTCGCTCCTTCCTGGAGGTATCCCATCAGCTGGAAAATGCCAACGAGGAGGTCCGAGGACTCAGTTTAAGGCTGCAGGAGAACGTAAGTTTCAATTATCGTTTACTCAGCAAGTTTTGTAACTAAAACAAGCAAAACCCCCAAAAAGAGTGTGAGAATCGTTGCTAATAACTGATGTTCTATTTCTATTTTATTTCCCATGGTTGTGGTATTAAACAAAAATATCTATCAAAATGTTCCCTAAACATACAACTTGTTATAAACAACTTGTAAAATAAAAAATAAACTTGCGCAACGCATACACAGAATGTTTCTATCGATAGCGTAAGTAAAATTCGTTCTCGGGCGAGCTTTTTCATCTCCAGTAGCACTAATTGTTGAAAGTTTTGATTCGATTTAAGAAACGTAATCCCTAGAAATTGTAATTGCATGAATCAGTTTACTAACTACTAATATTTCAATTTATTCTGCATATTTCTACTCCATGTAAATAAACATAATTCACTTAACATTTGTAAATTGAAGCGCCCTTCATTCGAAGGAATCCTGATAAGTTACTGTCCAAGAGATAGCCTCTCTACAATTCATATACTTGTGTAACATTTAAACAACCTTTAATCGTAATTAACTGCATGCTTGACTGCTTACTTGCACTTTATTATCGTATATCCCACTAATGATATTGAAATTCGTTTATGTAGAACAATTCTCGCCAATCATCTATCGATGAGCTGTGCACCAAGGAGGAGGAATTGAAGGAGCGTGACGAAATGGTCTCCTGTTTGCTGGAGGAGCTTGTCAAAGTGCGTCAGACTCTGGCCGAGAGCGAGGATCAAATTCGTAATTTGAAGGCGAAAATCGAGGAGCTCGAGGAAGATAAGAAGACGTTGCGCGAAAGCACGCCCGATAATTCGGTGGCGCATTTGCAGGACGAGCTAATTGCCAGTAAACTGCGCGAAGCCGAGGCTTCGCTCTCACTGAAGGATCTCAAACAGCGCGTTCAAGAGCTGAGCACACAATGGCAACGCCAGCTGGCCGAGAACCAACGGAATGAACACAATACAGCCGCCATGGACTCGACGCCCAAGAAGTTGCTCACCAATTTCTTTGACAACTCAAAGGCGAATGAGCACACACAGAAGCTCGAGGAGGAGCTGATGACCACGCGTATACGCGAAATGGAAACATTGACGGAGCTGAAGGAGCTGCGTCTGAAGGTCATGGAGCTGGAGACACAGGTGCAGGTCTCAACAAATCAGCTGCGTCGCCAGGATGAGGAGAACAAGAAGCTGAAGGAGGAGTTGGAAATGGCTGTGTCGCGCGAGAAGGAGATGTCGAACAAGGCGCGTGAACAACAACACAGGTGAGGCGAATGAAGAAGATGCACAGAAAATAGAAAAATAATACTAAACCCCCCCTCACTATGTAGATACTCGGATTTGGAATCTCGCATGAAGGATGAACTGATGAATGTGAAAATCAAATTCACCGAGCAAAGCCAAACGGTTGCCGAACTGAAACAGGAGATATCTCGACTGGAAACAAAGGTTTGTCCGCTCATAGACACAAAAATTGATGTCCGTCTGATCCGATTTGCCAACCATGGTAACAAAATTCCATTCCATTCCTGCTTTGTGAATTCCCGATCGATCAGAGAAAACGTAACGAAAATAGCAATTGAAAGCAAGAAAAGATTACATGTCTGATACGATTTCCACATCAACTATGCCGCAGCTCTCAACTCCTCTGCCAAGTGCCAGAATAGGGGCTTTTACTTATCCAAATGTTCAACTAGTTGCTGGTCAACTGGGATTAAATATCGGAATGGCAAATTCTAAAGAACCTGCTGTTGACGAAGAAATTCGCTTTATCGTAAGACTAATTAGCTTGATGCTTAAAAACCTGAAAGATCTTTCGGACGAATGGCCAGAACAAACAGATCTAACAGTCAAAGCATAATTTTTTTTTAAATCTTTCATCTTTATTTAAGATATGTTCTTCTCTTATGAAAGTTGCAGTGTGATTCCAACTGATTGTTCCTATCTCGTTATACCGCTGTACCAGCTATACTACAACACTATTGTTATTATTATTATTATTATTATTATTATTATTATTATTATTATTATTATTATTATTATTATTATTATTTTTTTTTTATATTTTTTTTTATTTTGTTAGAGCGTAGTAATAAAAAAGTTTAGGTTTTGCTACATTTTCTTTTTAAAATCGCAAATGGCAGACGGAATGAAAATGAGACGAATCGATATCCCACCCATATAGCTAATATATAGCCTCCATAGTTTATATAGCTACCTTAGGAATGATTCAATAGAGTCAATATAGTTGTAGGCTGTTCGAGAGGGGCTTTATTGCTTTGCAAAGCCATTTCCTACCACATCCCCTCCAAATCCAGCGACTTCTGATGTCAGCTTACAAGTTCTTTCACAAGTTTTTCTTTTAAAACTTTTGATGTCGACTTTGTTTAATAATTAAAGGGGATAAGAGAACTTCTCTTGTTTTACTATAACTTTAATCTTTATATTAAATATTGCTGTCCTCTTTGCAGAACTCCGAAATGCTGGCTGAGGGCGAACTGCGCGCCAACTTGGACGAGTCGGACAAGGTGCGCGACCTGCAGGACAGGTTGGCCGACATGAAAGCCGAGGTAGGTGCTATCCCAATATTTTCACCATTATTCAGTCATTTGGTTTTTGGTTTCCTTTCTCATTTACTAAGCGCACCAGAAACAATGCCTAGACACAAAACAAACGAAAAAATAAATAAAATCAAATCATTTTTCCATCACACCTAATACACTCACTCTCCTCACATTCGCAAACTAATTAATGTAAACGGCACCCATTATCGGGACAGCAAAAGCTTAAACTGTGTCCTTAATGAGCCTCGCATTGTCGCTAGCGCTTGCCAAGGTCCTCATTCGTCGGCGCTACCATGGCTTTATTGTTTTTGTTGAGCCGCTTCTTTGTTTCTTGCGTTTTTTCTTTCGATTTTGGTTACATTTAAAAAAAAACCTATGCTAAAAATATTTGTAATAATCTTGTTGTTTCTCATCAAAATCTCTTCTTCACACAATGCAAAAAAAAAAAAAAAAAAACAATCGAACAAAACACGCAACTTGTCTCTTCTTTAGTATCCCACGCCTATAACAAGTCCCGACACTGAACCGTGGAAATGGATAAGCTAAGCTAATTCGCAATGCTAATCGAAAATAATCAGCCAACTATTTATATTCAACCCTAACCATAACATTAATTTAATTTTAATCAACTCTACAACAACAAGAACAACAACCAAAAAAGAAAGGAGCAACTAAAAAACTGAAACTTACCGCATTATAAGGTCTCTATTACTGCTCAAATCATTGTATGCCAATTACCTAAGTATACATACGTTTATAGACTCCTAGTTGTGACCAGTAAAGTTGATCATAATCCCTACTCATGCCTGATGTTATTTGTTAATGTATTTTGATACTATTTTCCTATTCTATACCTCCATTTCAATATCCATTGTACCACTTGATTAGCTCAGATCCACTATATTTGCATGACCTTTCTAGACCTTCGAATTCCAATCTTTACCATTTGAAGCATGTCATAGATAATACTTATATTACCAAATTATTTTTTTAATGCTTTTCGGTTAGTTTGTCTGCAATGCCTTGCCTTTTGCCAAGGTTTTCAAATTTCCTTCAGTTTATATGTTCAATACGAATTTGATCTGTCTTCTATATACATCAATATCAAAAAGATCTCATAGTCGCTAGTCCTTAATTATATACATATGTATGCTAATTTTTCCACTACTATTTATCTCTATATTGTTAGCTACAGCAGTGAATGATTTATGCTTTACAACATTCGCTTAAAAAAAGGTGTTTTTATTTTTAATGCCACCCAAAAACCGTTTGCCACTATTTAACATCGCTTTGAAAAGCTGCAGCTTTTAAAGTTCGCAGCTTGATTCTGAAAATTTAGGAAAAATTTCACAAAGAATGGCATGTCAGTTAATTTTACATAAGCGGAGATTTAGCCAGTTTTAGCCAGCCTACATTAACAAGAAGCTACACTAAAATTTTAGACAAATATTTATAACGGGCTGGGATGAAAAGAACAAAACCTATGTGGGAACCTGCACCCCAAGGTTGGTGGCTGTACTTGCTATACTTTCTAAGATTTTTGCGTTCATACAGACAGACAGACGATCACACGGTCGAACATGCTTTTATAGACTTGTATGGGCTTGCTTTATGTGTTCTGACACACTATCTGTTGTATGTTGTTACAGGATACATGCTTACATACTAAACCGAAATGAAAGCTGAAATCAAATACGTTTCATCATCACATCTGCACTCGACCCGATCGATGTAATTATATTTTGCATGCCAACACGAATCGCTTGATCATTTCTATCTAATTTTTGTAACAATAATCAGGAAAATTTTTAAACACGCTTTCCACATACTATACATATACATATATAATACATACTAGTTACGTAAGCACATAACAACACATTTGCTGTTGTTGTCTTCCGTACGATATCCAACTTTTGTGTTTCTATTTCATTGTCGTGCTTTTATGCGTGTGTATGATGGTGTTGGTTCGTGCCTCTCTCTCTCTCTCTTTCTCTTAACACAAAACACAACTCTCTAATGATAACATGAAAGAGCGTAGTTAAACAAAATCAAAGCACCCATGCACATAATACCAACAAGAACAACAACATCTACAACAACAATGCAACAACAACCACAACACTAATCGGCCAAAATTTCCGCTGCAGTTAACGGCGCTGAAAAGTCGCGGCAAATTCCCATCCAATAAACTGCGCAGTGGTTCGATCCAATCGATAGAGTCCAATGAAATTGACTTTAACGATCTGAATATGGTACGGCGCGGGAGTACGGAGCTATCCACATAATATTCAATGCAATATGTCAGCTGTATTTATATATAAACATATATATCTATATCTATATATAAAAACATCGGTATAGATGTTTCTGTGCGGATCCCATTAAAACCCATCCCATCCCATCATCGTCGGAACGGGCACAGCGACAATGACCCACAGAAATATTGAAAACTTCATATAAGTAGTTGAATTTAAATTAAAATATTATCTATATATATTTTGTATACAAAATATTTTTATTATTTAAATTTAGTGATATTTTTTTTTTGTTTTTTTTTCGGTAATGCTACTATTATTAAATTTACATTACTCTTAAGTATTACTGCTGTTATGTTTTTAATTAACACTCATATTTATTTATTTAATTCCAAAGTCTATTGTCATCATTATTATTATTATTGAAGCATATTTTTTCTGTTTCGTTAACACTTGTAATGTTAAACACCTATAGTTTACATAGAAGAAAGCACATGGCGAAATATGAAATGTGTATGTATTTTAAATATAAAGTAAAGTATAATACTGAACATAAATTATGAATTTTATGCACGACAACAACAAAAACATTTTTAAGTGTAAGTTTTAAAATGCAACTCGAAACAAAAGAAGAAAGAAACATCGAGAATGAAACATGAGTTCACACAATTTTTGTTTTGTTGTTATTTTTAACATTTCCATAAATTCTATTACATACATATATCATTATAATTACAAATACATGAATTTGTTAATGAGCGAAGCAAAATCAAAGAATATGATACACAAAAGCTATTTAGCAGAAACCAAGCGCGAAAAAAGCGCGAATTTTTTCATAATGTTAACAAGCGTTGCCAAAATGTATAACAAAAAAAAAAAAAAAAAATACACTTAAAAATAGTCTCAAAAAAGAATAATACAAGAGTACATTTCAAAACTCTAACAAAAAGTCAACTGAAAACGATATTTGCATTACGATATTCGAAATACGATATTCGAGAACACGATATTCGAAAGACGACATTTTTGAGTTACGATATTCGGTTAAAAACTTGACTAGCGTTATTTGTAGTTGATAAACAAACAGACACACGCATAGTAGAGTAGCCACAGCTACTATACAAGTATATATATAGCTATTACATAATACTGTAGACGATATATGTGTGTACACAGATATTCGTAAGCATATGGACAGCGCAAAACAATACAACAATAACAAAAACAAAAACAACTTCGGCAGCTTGCAGCTAAACAGAAATCAACTGCATTTTAGTGAAGTTTTCCAAGTGCAATATAATATACATATGTATACATATATACATATTTATATATATATACATAGGTACATACATACACATATACTTGTATGTATACAAGTATATACATATATATAGAGTGCATGTTACAGGCAAAATGTTTTCGATGTTGACTTTACAAACTAATGACTAATTATAAAACAGAAAATCTTAATTAAGCACTCGAGTGTTTGTTGCAAACGTATGCCAAAATTTTAATATTATTTTCCGCATCCTCACAATTCTATTTGCTTTATTATTATTATTATTTTTTTTTAAATGTTATGTAGGAAGGAAGAAATGTGTTCGAATGCATTCAAAGCGCTTCCAAAAAAAAAAAAAAACGTATTTTTCTGTTTTCTTATTATTGTTTTTGATAACCATTTGCTTCTCATGACAATTAATTGTTTAGTGTAGAATGTTTTCTTTTAAGGCCCAAGAGTGTCACAAATTTTTGTAATTACAACAATTTCCATTTCCAATTCAATGTTCAGCACAATTTTTGCCAGTATTAGTCCCTCAGTTGTGAACACAAAGATAAAGCAATATTATACTATGTAGTATATACATATACATATATAGTTTGCTAGGAGGGGGGGTTCACATTCCCACAAACAAGATGACGTTGTCGCATGTTCCTGCTGCTCGCTATACTACTTATTTGTATGTATGTGTACTTGTATTTACAATTTAGACACTTACTCGTGTATTCCTGTTGTTTTCAATCGCAACAAAAATTTGTGGCAAGCAGAGGAGAAGCATTCAAGAAATATACATACTTAATATTATACTTAAATTGAAAACTGTTGATACATATACACTTACACCTATTACTATACACAAACAATATTTGTTCATTATATATTATATACAATGTACGAGTATATGTATTTATAGCCTTCGCTGATAAAAGAAACGAAAATCTCGATAATTGTTTAGCCGCTAAGTTTTATGTAAATGTTAATATATATGTACTTGTATGTATTTTTATTTCGAATAACGAGCTAATTTTTTATATTGCGCACAAATGGGACGATATCATAGTTTTATACATATACTACTTATAAGTATATACTCTTAATGTTTGTTTCTATTACGTTTTGTTTTCTGTATTTTTTTATTTTTCTTTTTGTTTAATTTGTGACCGAAGTACTTAAAGAATCAAAACATAAACAGTTGAAATTTTGCAAAAAAAAAAAAAAACAAAGTTAAAATAAACTAGTACTAAACATATAGAAGTCAATGAAAGCTTAGAGAGACACACATGCATAAATACATATCTGAATTGTTGTGGTGACCAAGAATCAATATATAAACAAAGGAAAATATATATATATATATATATATACTTATATATCTACATCTACAGATAAGAAAGAATTACTTTGCCAAGCTAAAGAGAATAGAAGCCAAAACTGCAGCCAAACAAATGAAAAACGACAGAAAAGTACAGCTATAATGAGTTCGCTTTCAACGTCAGCTGCCGCCGGTACTGACCTATATAGAAATATTTGAAAAGTTAACAATTAAATAAATATGCGCAGCAAAATATTTCCACCTGAATGGGGAATGGATTGATAAAAATTAGATTGGCAAATTGCTTAGCAATCAATTGTTTCCAACAGTCTAGACGCACTAGCTGCACTTCGCAAAGGTGTAAATATTTCGATAATATATCTACTAAACAAGTATAAATACCAAGAAATAGAGCCAGACCATGTGAATTGTAGCCGCAAATAATAACCACACACAAACCTAAATAGTTATAGATATGTGGAGTCGTCTGATTCGTTTCGGTTTCGGTCTCGGTCTCGGGCCCTGACTCATAGAGTTGCTTGAACTTTCGACGTCGTATGGTAGAAGCAATTTAAATATTGTATCACAGCATTTGTTAAATAAATAAAGTGTGAAGGCATTTCACAGCTTATTGAAATTGATTTTAAATGCGAATGATACAGCAGATATACACACACATATGTACTCGTACTCGCCTCATGTATGGGGGACTGGACCGATCCATTGGGGGAAACGCAATTCATTTTCTCACCGACGGTGCGAAAATTAAATAAAATTTGGCTGTGGCTGTCAGCTGGCGGGGCGCAATAAATAATCTAAATAACCACACATCATCTATACAGAATATAATTAATTGAAGCCTCCAATTCTTTGCTGAAAGAAATGCAACAACAACAACAACAACAAAACAAGAAGAGAAGAAAAGGAAATTCCCTTGCTAGTTTGTTTTCTTAATTAGTTTTTATTTTACAAATTAGGAGTCCGCTTTTTTGTTTTTGTTTAGTTGTCTTAGTTTATTGTTTACACTTTAGTTAATATACCTTCCACAATTTTGTGTTGTAATTTGTGTAAAGTGTGTTTGACAGCAACACATACTACTACCTAGGAATGATATTAAAAAAGGAATGTCTCTTCGGGCACCTTGATTTCAATTTAAAATGCATGCGAGTAAAATATTGGAGATATACTATTTTGTTGTAATTGTTCGATATTGATTGATATTTGCAAAAAGCAGAAACGAAATGTAGATTTTTTTTAGAATTTAAGTGAATTTTGTGAACCAAAACGTTACAAGAAACAACAAACAAATGCAAAATGCAATTATTATGAATGTAGTAATTAAATTATACATAAAATAAAATGATGAATTACTACTGAAAAATCCCAAGTCGAAAAAAAAAAAAATATATATATATATATACATATATACATTTTAGTATAAATGAGATGGAACATAAATAAAATAAATGAATTTCTGAAAATCAACACATGTGTATTCTATTTTGCAATTCATATCGCCCGCCAGCTGCTTATCAAGCGAGACGAGCAGCTCTTAGAACTGATTGCAGTTCAAGGGGTCGCAGACGATTACGAAATGGACATCAAGATTACAACCCAGATTCTGAAGCACGTGCAATTTGAAGAACCCACGGGGTCTTTCTATTATAAAATGTGCATGGAAGTGGAAGATACGATTGATTAGTGGACCATCAAATGGAAAGCATCGCAAAGCAAGAGGAGGAAACAATCCAAAACAATTAAATGTAGAACTGAAAAAAAAAAACAAATCTTAAATGCTGCTAAATTATAAAAAATAAAATCTGTGATAAATAATGGGAAAGCTTACACGAGAGAAATCAAAGATGGTAAATAAATGTTTCTATGTGTCTGGTTATCAAAAGGAAAGTCTAAACAGAATATCTACGAATCATAATAGGATAGCTGACACGTCACTGTAATTTAAGACTTCATCAGGAGGAGGAGGCATCAGAGAATAATCTATGGGAAGTAAACGAATGCTTCTACTAATGGAATCTGCAGTGTCTTGGGTCTGACAATAAAAAGGAATAACGAAAACAAATCCTTCAGGCTATTGAGCATTATTTTCAAATGATGCACCAAGCTTATGGTAATAATTATTTATCTTGGCAGAGCCCACGAGTGGTATACGTGATTTTAGAATGGTCGTGATGGCTTGATGATTGACGAAAAACATGCTGGTCAGCCAAAATTCGTGATTCCCGAAAATGCAGTCGAAAAAGTGAGTGATTTTTTCAAAAATCCTCCAACGTTTTCTCCCAAATTAATGGAAATGGAATTAAATATCTCCAAATCAACGATTTATATTTTAAAAATAGGAGGGGGTTCTCAGTTCGACTGTATTATTTTTGTTTTTTTTTTTTCGTTTAATGATTATTATTTTATTTGAAAGCTGGTGCTTCCCCATTTCTATGTGGTCCAGTTCTGAAAATGGCATCTATAAGAAAACTATCTTTAATAATTTATTTACTCCAAATAGCTGAAGGAATAGAATCATCTTCGAAACATTATATCACCTTAAATGAGAACAAGGCAATATTATTCGGATCATTTAATCAAGGTGATTTACGATTTAATTTAATTTATAAATTTTACTTGTGATCGAACAATTGGGTTTGCGAAAGGAGTGTTCTTGCTTAGTTTACCAAAAATGTAGTCTCATCGATCGGCATATGTGGCTGAGTTTTTGTCAAAACCTCTACGTATAGGCTACCTTTTCTGAAAATTGAGCTTGTTGATCAAAGGAAAGCGCCATTCCGAAGGACTTAAAACACTCGTTTGAAGTGTTTCTTAATCGTTGTATTGAGTCGAATGGGGATTTTTGTCCGATGCCTATAATTTAAAAAAGGTAAGTGATGCTAAGAAGCCGAAATTTTGCCACATTCCTTAGATTTTTAGGTGGGGTATAACTGAACTGTATGATTGACTAAATCATTAAAATTTTACCTTTCTTGTTAAAGTTTACGTTTGGAAATGATTTTTTTTTTTAGATGCACTGATAAGCCAGTTGTTTCCAAATTTGAAGCCTTCCAGGAGAGTTACGAACGCCATTTGTTTCGAAATGTTTTATAATTTTTTTTTATTCTTTTTGGTGCATTCACTTAACTAGAGAGTATATAGTATAGGTTTAAATGTAATTAATTAATATCATTAACAGTTATATAATTGTCTTATGTAGGGATATCGTTTCTTTCTTTCTTTCTTTCTTTCTTTCTTTGCTTGAGCTTGAGCTTGTTCGTGGTCAAGGATGTGTGTGTTCGTGCAGTTGGGGTTAAATGTTTAGGGGAAATGGGGAATGGGGAATGGGATGCCTGTCTTTATCGGCTGTTTTATGCTTAGAGGTAAATTGATCGTTTGGTGCCATGAAGTTGCCTATTTTTTTTTTCTTCTCTAATAACATAAAGCAAGACAATGCTTATTCAACATAATGATAACAAAAACAAAAAAAAAAAAACAAAAAAAAATTAAAAAAAGCTTTAACTTTAGTTCTGCATTTGACACTGTACTCGAACAAGAAATACGTTAGGTATATATAGAATGTGCGATCGCCCGGGGCTACGCCTATGACTGACTGCTATGACTAAATCGTTCCGCTGCTCGCATCGATTGTTATGTATGTGGTATGGTATGCATAGGTATAATAATAAAGCCATTTCTCGATTTGGGTCCAGATCCGCAAAAAAAAAAAAACAACAACATTCCAGCCCCCTCTACTCGTCCAGGCAGATGGTGCGCAAAATGGCCTCCACCACCGAATAGGGATCGCAATTGGAGCTGGGACGGCGATCCTCGAAGTAGCCCTTGCCGTCATCGTTGACGCCACGGGGAATGCGTATGCTGCAGCCACGATTCGCAATTCCAGCGCTAAAATCGTTAATAGAGCTCGTCTCGTGCTTGCCGGTCAGACGACGTGCATTGTCCTGGCCCTGTTTGGGATCGTAGGCGCGAATGTGACGCTCATGGCACTTGGATAGCTTGGCCACGGCCTTCTCAATGTCCCGGATGCCGCCATTTTTGCGCATGCTCTCTGTCGAGACATTGGTGTGGGCACCGGCGCCGTTCCAGTCACCCGGCATGGGCTTGGGGTCAAGGGTGGCCACAATCTGTAATTTTTTTTTTACCATCAGTTGGTAATTCTAATCGAAGTGCTACGGATTTGTTGCTACTTACGCCAAACTCTTCCGAAATGCGATGCAACAGGAAGCGAGCCATCCACAAGTCGTCGCCAATCGAGATACCCTCGCATGGACCAACCTGGAATTCCCATTGGGCGGGCATCACCTCGGCATTGGTGCCGGAAATCTTAATGCCAGCATAGAGGCAGGCGCGATAATGCGCATCCACAATGTCGCGAGCATAGACCTTTAAGGGGAACGCATTTGTCGTTAGTTGCAGTTTAAAGTTTTAAGTCCGGAATTAACTCACCTTGTTGGCGCCAACACCGCAATAATAGGGTCCCTGGGGTCCGGGGAAACCATTCTTGGGCCAGCCCAATGGATAGCCGTCAAAGTCGAGGAATGTGTACTCCTGTTCAATGCCAAACCATGGCACCTCATCCTTAACCTTGTCGCACACCTCAAGACAGGTCTTGCGCTTGTTCGTTTCGGTGGGGGTGCCGTCGAACTTGTAGGTGTCGCACATGACCAAAATGTTGTTGCCACGACGGAAGGGGTCCTTATAGATGGCAACCGGATATAGATATGTGTCCGAGTTGCTGCCCTCTGCCTGATAGCATGAGCTGCCATCGTAATTCCAAACAGGCAGCTCTATAAGAAATCAGAAAATCGGAGAGCAAGTTGTTAAAAAAGCTTTCAAAATATGCAACAGATAATTATGAAACCCCCATTACTAAACCAAATCTTAAACTCGCAAATCAAGGGAAGAAGGGGTTGAAGATCTATGAAATTATTTCCCATCAAAACCAAGATCCTGCTCATTTTTGTGCTTAAATTCTGATTTAAGCTGAATAAAGTTTTCATTAAAAAACTGATTAACTTATCGATTCCCTAAGAGAGATGAAAAATTTAAGTTAATTTAGCGGTAAATTTTGTTTTTAGAAGACAGGTTTCTTTACCTCCAAATCTTAAAAATTCCAACTAAAACTATAGCTTTTTTGATGCGATTCTAAAATTGAGGATTATTAATGTGTTTATTATTATTAAATTGTCATCATACCATCATAGAACCATGGTATTATTTCCAACTAAGCTGTATTTTCTGTACAACCTTTAGTCTTCCTAATACTTGATAAACATATATTTTTTTAAGTTTAAAAAAAATGTTTATTTATTTTTTTATATTAAATTATTTTTTTTCTTTTTAAGTTTTATTTTCTTGCACTCCAGTAAATTACATATATCATCTTTCATATTGCAGTCTCTGCAATATCATCTAATATCTTACTCTACTGTAAATGTGTTAGATATTTTTTTGATTTTTTCAAAATCTTCAGAACTTTTAAGAAGTATTTCAACTATTGATCCCAATCCAGATAATCTTAAATAGATTGTACTGAATAGCGTTTAGTGACTGATGATTTCAATTCGCATTAAAAGCCAAATTAGAGAGCTGACCCAAATAGCAATTAGCAGATGACCTTCAAAAACAAGTGCTGGTTTACAACCCACAAATTGGCGCTGCTAATGAACTACTCTAATTAATTAGTGCCAATTGGTATTCGGTTGCATTTCGCGCCCAGCGACTAACCACAATAACAATAACAAAAGCAACAAGAATACCAGCTGCTGCAATCAAGCATTTCCTGTTGCTAGCTAACACTTTCCATTTAGCGCTGCACAACAATAAATTAATGCAGCATACTAATATACTAAGTATATAGTATATGTATAGTATAAATGAAATTATTGCAGGCATATTTAATTTCGCCCACAGTCTTACACAAACCTAATCATCAGCATCATCAACATCATTATCATCATTTTCGTCAGCAACATCGTCAGCAACAAACAGTCCTAGCCTCTTTAATAAGGCAGACATTTTTTAATCTAAAATATTCCAATTGTTGTGATGGCACAAAATTAGTAGCCCACGTTTTGCCGGCTTTTGATTAATAATTTTCTCTAGATACTTGAATAAAAAGAACTTCCAGTTAAATAACAAAAATGTCATACATTTTAAGTTTCTAAAATGAAAAAGAAGTCCTCTGGCATGTTTTTTTTTTGGAGCAGTGTGCGATAGAAAACAGAGTTAAGGGGTGGGTGGGTCCTATTCAAGTGGCGAGGGGTGTAATCGACAACATCATCATCTTCAATCAATCAAACATCATCTTCATCAACAACAGCATCATCAGCCTTATCCTCATTTCGTGCTGTTATTATTTCTAGTTTGTTTAACTTTTTTTTGTTTTTTGTTTTTTTCTATGTAAATGAAACTTGACTTGCATTTTAATATTCAGAGCTGTCCATCAAAAAGAACAAAATATTATTACATTCTATTGCAATAAATAAACCAAACAACAACAAAAAAAGAAGAAAAAAGAAAAAAGCGTTGCTGGGCGGGCTGCGCGTGCAAGCAGCTGTTGTTGTTGGGTTTTGTTGTTGTGCATTGTTATATAAATAATACAATAATAATAAAAACAAAACAACAACTACATATAAATAGCTTCAATGAGAAAAATACCACTTATGCAAATTTGCGTTTGCGCTTAAGTTTGTCGGGCTGGGAAATGGAGGCTGTTGTTGTAAAAACAACAACAAAAAAGGGGGTGACCTTGAAAGCGCGTTTACATTTACAAGCTGATATCGGGCCCCTCCACACACCTCTTCTATTCTCGCTTAAGCTATATACATTTATATCTGTATTTAAATAAACATATTATGTACATAGTGGGCTAGGGGGCTCTACTGATAGCCAGCGAGTGATTAATGAAATACAAGTCGCTGGAACTGTGTGTGAATATTCATTAGGTTTGCAAGCATACTCGTATTAGTTGGGCCAGGTTGAAACCTAATCTCTGACTAAGTCCCTATAGTATATGCGTCCGTTGCGGGCGACCACAAATTAGCAAGAAAATTGAACTTGCCAAGTGCTTTGGAAATGTGTGAAAAGGCATGTAACAGGCGCTACATACATATATATCTATTTATATGCATATGTATAAAGTTGAGGTTATGTGCATATATTGTTTTCATTTAATGAGCAGTTTTTTGTTTCTTCACTAAACAGCTGTAAATAAAAAATTTTGCTACGCTCGTACGTGATTTATTTGCAGGAAAGTTTTCAATTGGTTTGTTTTTTATCTTGTAGACAGAAATTGCAGCAAAGTACAAGTTGCAGTTAATAATAGAATTGTAAATAGCTATATAACAATATTGATTGTTAACAATAGGACTTGTTATTTCGGCAAAAAGAGTTTATTTTACTTGAAAAAATCACCGTGCCTTTTAATGCAATGTTTTGCACAAACAAGAAGCCTTTTGAATGCTTTTGATGTTTTCAGTTCTCCATTGTTCAGTTAAAGGCCCTTATAAATCGCTGGTTTTTTTTTTTTTTTTTTTATAAGAATAGGTTGCATTTCTGACTTCAATTGCCGCTCATGATTTGTGTTTGGCAAACTAGTGCTGTGAAAGGATGGATCATGAATTATTTGTTGAATGAAAAAAAAACCCATTCATATTTTATTACCTTTTGAGTAATTTGATTGGCAAGTGTGTTTGCAAATTGTAATTCCCCACCAAAGGTTGCGCTTCAATCAGGCCTCATTAAATGTTATTAGAGGCCACGCAATGCTATTACCTGCTGGTTAGCAACAAATAGGCCTCAATAAATGCCTGCAATTTGTCTTCGTAATGCTCCAATATCGTACAATAAAAGTAATTCAATTTCTAATGCACACATTGCACACGATTTCAAGTGTTTGTAGGCCATTCGAATTGGCAAATTATTGATTGCACTTGACTTCCAATGACCGTTACATTGCAAGTGTGTGTCTATGTGTGCGTTGATAATGATGATAGTGCTTAGCAACTTCCAATAAAAGTGCATAAGCAATGTCAATCAATGAGCCCCACAATCGTGCACTCAAGTGGTCAACAAAGAACTTATGATTCAAATGACTTCCACACTGGGTGGTCTGTCCTTAGAGATGGTTGTGCAGAGAATCGAGCGAAACGTAAAAGAAAAGTAATTTGATTTCAAATCGAAAATATTCACATATTTATTTTAAAGGTGATTTTGTAAACCTCTTATTCAAATGACTTCCACACTGGGTGGTCTGTCCTTAGAGATGGTTGTGCAGAGAATCGAGCGAAACGTAAAAGAAAAGTAATTAGAGTGGCAAACACGATTCGATTTCAAATCGAAAATATTCACATATTTGTTTAAAAGGTGATTTTTTAAACCTCTTATTCAAATGACTTCCACACTGGGTGGTCTGTCGTTAGAGATAGTTGTGCAGAGAATATGGAGACAAACGAAACGTGTTAAAATGTAGTCAAAAAAATAATATTCATAAAACTCAAGAAAAGTAGTTCTAGGCGTCCTTGAGTGGCCAATTCATTCTCAGATCTGAAACCCATAAAGAACCTTTGAACTAAACAAAACAAAACACAGCTAATTTAAAAGTTTGGTAAAATATACCAAAGAAATTTGTCGGCCATATGAACATATTGTCTATGCCCGAATAATGACGGGTATTAAATGGATATTAAATGCGTTTCAAATTAAATTCAAAACGAACCCCAATGTTATTTACTTAGTTTTTTGGACTTTCCTATATTATGGGAGTATTTACAGAATTTTTTGAATCTTATGCTTATATTTTTGGAGCATTTTAAAAACATACTTGTTCTTTGAGAAGTAATGAAAGAATAAATGAAAAAAGAAGCATTTTTTAAAAACAAAATTCACAGCTATTGTTTTAAATAATATAAATCTAGTATCTATTACTTAAATACTTCTTCTCAAATTTTTGTAAGCTTGGAAAATGTTTGATTTCGTCTTCAAAGCGACTGATCTGATTTGTTCGGTTTTGGGTAAATTTTAAACAAAGCTGTGCTATTGTGCCGATGATTTTGATCACGCGCTCATCCCTAATACATATGTGTATGAGTATGTATGTAGTTGTGGCAGCCAAGGTAGGGGGTCTTCTATAATTTAGAATAAGTGCAATGCAATTGAATTTCAAAACCTAAATCAAATTGATTGACAACAGCGGCAATAATAGCACTTAGCTGCAACAACAACAACAATTACAATTTCCACTTGACATGCATTCAATATTATTGACAGAGCACGTGTCTTGTGGGTGGTGGGTGGTGGATGGTGGATGGAGAGCCATGAAATATGCATGCGTGAATGTCAATTTCCAATTATTTCAATTAAAGCGTTGACCTTTAACCGTTGGTTGCGGCTCTGCGACTCTGCGACTCTGACTCTGGATATGGCTGGCCCCCCTAATTGCAAGTGACATGCAAAATGTGAAGCAAACAAATTGAAATTGAAATTGAAATTGCAAGTCAATTAGAGAGGCAGACGATGGAGAAATAATGCTGCCATCCATACATTGCACATTTCAAGTTCAAGCAATGAGTTGGCAAAACCCATATATATAGTATTTATGATTAAATAAAGGTACAGCATACACCCATTAAAACGACCTGCTATCAGATGTTATAGGGAAGTCTGCTTGCCTATAACTAACTCACTAGTAGTTATAAATTGCCAAAATCGAGAATTACTTTTGAACTATTAGATGCAATTTATGTTTAAATCTAATCTTTGAAACTATAATTAAATCAATTCTTAA